GGGGCCCATCGCCGGTTCTCCACGTGGCCGCCAGAGGGAGCCCTACAACCCACACTCCATCCTGGTCCCGCGCAGCGCCCCCCAGTGTCGGGAGAGTGAAACCCCTGCTGCCTCAATTCTGTCCGCTCTGCGCACAGGGCTTGCTTTCTGTCCCTGCAACGCAGAGCGCACCCCCTCTCAGCCTCAGGGGTTTGCAGCTGCCATTTCCTCCGTTCCTGCGGACAGGCAGGCGCCCTGAGGGTGAGGGTGTCTCTGGCAGCCCCCACACCCCGCCTCCGCCTTCAGCCCCGTCCCCGTCATGAGCCTCCCTAACACTTAGCACCGCTTGCCTAGCGTCAGCCTCCCGAAAGCCAGCATCCAGGGCAGGAGGCTGAGGAACGGCCTGGGGTATGGGGGACACGAGGCCCCCTAAACGCTGCCTGGGCACACAGTAGGTGCGCGGAGCGTGCACACTACCTGGCATCGGGCACGCGAGGGTCACTGAATGGATGGCCAGTTGCAAAACCCTCCCCAGAAACCCAGTGTTTTCCTAACCGCCTGACTCGAATAACCAGGAGTGTTTGTTTAAAAGTGCAGCTTTTCCCCCTCCCTTCCCCTACCTACTGCATCCCACCGCCCTAGCGGAGGGATCCGGGCATCTGTGATTAGGCCCCAGGGAGCTTCCTTCTCGGGTCTGCTGATGGGGGGAGCCTGGGTCCCCTTCTCTGCTCGCCTTTCCACCCAGTCACTGATTTACACGGTTAAAAAGGCAAACTAAAACAAAAAGTACAGTAAAATGGAGTGGAGATGCCGGGGATTGAACCCGGGGCCTCATACATGCAAAGCATGCGCTCTACCACTGAGCTACATCCCCTGGGCCTGGCAGCAGCGGGGCTGTGGGAAGCCCCAGTGTCCTTCCGCTCGCCGGGCCCCTTTTCTGGGTGCTCAGCGTCTCCGGTCCAGGCGGCTCCTTCCGCGCCCGCGAAAGCCCAGGACCCGGCACTGCACCGGGGGAGGCCCGGCCTGGAGCCGGCGGGGCGAGAGGAAGGGAACCCATGTCCATATGGGCCAGCGCGGAGGGGGCCAATCAGAGCTCGTCCTCGTTAGTATAGTGGTGAGTATCCCCGCCTGTCACGCGGGAGACCGGGGTTCGATTCCCCGACGGGGAGGCCTCTAAAATTTTTAAGTCCCTTGTGACGCCGTGTGTGCCTCGCGGTTTTCCTTGCAAACCTGGCAATTGGGGCGTCACTAAGGAAAAAAAGCCAGGTGCGCGCAGGGGGCCTAACGGGTCCCCCATTATTATATATGTAATCTATAATCTGTAATGGATATAGCTCGAGTGTTTTTGCATTTATATCCCTGGTCACCAGCTAACAATTATGCAACTTTTATCATGTACCGGGCAGTGCTCGGCGCTGTGCAGGTGAGCGCTCATTTAGTCTCCACAGCAACCTCAGGGGTAGGTGCTATGTCCTCCCATTAGACAGATGGGGAGACTGAGTCCTGGAGAACGGCTGTGTGGCCTGCCCAGGGCCACCTCATCACCACCTGCTCCGGGCAGGGGTCCCCTCTGTGGAGAAGGCCCGGGAGAAGGCGCGATGCCTCCTTGACTCCATTCTCCACCTGTCTGGACTCTTCTCGTTTTCTTTTCCTTTCTCTTTCCTGCCTTTCTTTTCCTCGTTTCCCCTTCCCCGTGTTCCTCCTTCCCTCTTCCTTCCTTCCTTCCTTCCTTCCTTCCTTCCTTCCTTCCTTCCTTCCTTCCTTCCTTCCTTCCTTCCTTCCGTTCTTTCTTCCTCCATTTTTACCAGGATGATACTCGTCATGCTTTTCAACGGCCCGCTCTGCACGGAGAGCAGGGGGAGAGCAGGGGGAGTCCGGGCGGTCCCCTCGCTCCTGAAGGGGTGCGGGGCGTGCCACGCAGTGTGCAGATTCAGGGGTCCTCAAACTACGGCCCGCGGGCCACATGCAAATACAAATATTGTATTTGTTTCCGTTTTGTTTTTTTACTTCAAAATAAGATATGTGCAGTATGCATAGGAATTTGTTCATAGTTTTTTTTTAAACTATAGTCCGGCCCTCCAACGGTCTGAGGGACAGTGAACTGGCCCCCTGTTTAAAAAGTTTGAGGACCCCTGATTCAGAGCCTCAGTTGTCACACATGATTGACCTGTTGTGACAGGAGACAGAGGGGACCACACACCCAGACGAGCTCTATCACAATCAGACCTCCCACGTGCCACCAGAAGACCATGCAGCACCTCTCCATGCGGCCTGGCAAGCTCTGGCCTCGCCCGCCTCTCTGGCCTTGCCAGGCGCCCTCTCGCCCCTCACCCTCCTCCCCTCTCCCACCCGGGTCTCTGCGCCTCCGATTGTCCCCCTCCTCTAGGCCCCAGGGCCTTTGCACCAGCGGTCCCTCCGTCCAAGGGCCTCTTCCTCAGGTCTTAGCACTGCGGGCTCGCTATGCTTCAGGTCCTCTCAGCTCCCTGCTTCTCTCGCTGCCGTATCCCCCGAATCCCACCCCATCACTGCGGTTTATTTTGGTTTATTTTGCTTCTTAGCACAACTATTATCCCCGAACTATCTCCTTCCTGGATTCGTGGATGAGCCAGAGGGTCACCAGGTGTTTGGCCGGCACTTGCCAAATGACCTCACATCGTGGACAATCCCCCCACCGGTGGGTCCTCCCCGGGCAGCCCTTCCCACCCCCACCC